CCACCAAAAGACGTAGCTCCTCCGAATGGTAAACCACCACCGAGAGATCCATAACCCCCATTAACAAATTGTTGATAAGCAGCACCAAATTCTGGTGTCCAAGGGACACAGATTGTTAATGTTTGCTGGTGACCGAATCGGTCACCAGCTGTTCTACCCAACACCGAAGCATGTCTTGAAAACATTTTGTTCTATGCTAATCACACAGTTAGATGTTCAGTATATGTTTTGTGATGTTGTTCTATTTGATATACTTGTTTTTGTATACCAATCACAAGGTGTCTGCAGTTAGTAAGAAAAATGATGTGTGCTGTTGTATTCTTATCTGTGAAAGAGTGAGAGAGAGATAGAGAGAAACAGAAGCAACGAGACTCGCAATCATTCAGCCGGAACATTTATCGGCACTGTTACTGATATATATATATGTTTATTTTAACCTTGAAAGAAACGTACGTAAGGGATAATTTTTTTTTCGATTTCGATGGCAGTAAAAAATGAAAACAGCATAACATGCGCAGAGAAAAAAAAAGTAGTTTGTTGAGTGACTTTGCCGTTAGACATACATTGTAGGAGACTAGCCAAAGCGTCAAGTCATTTAAAAAAAGGAAAGAAAGAAAACGGAGTGGTCGACACTGATACACTAGTACTCTTAATGATAAAATTAGGAGGACACAAAGAAAAGAAATACTAGTGTAATTAACACCATGATATGGTTTTCTTTCTACAACATTGTTGTTTTTGATAAAGTGCTAAATAATTGTATCAGTAGAATATTACGTGTAATTCATATGTTAATTAATATTAATTTGTTCCAACCCTGGGCATATGAACATGAACGAGTCGATACTGAAAAGAAGTAAAAAAAAAACAATTTTTTTTCCTTTCTTATTTAATAAAAATAGAAACAGTTTTGGTTTTTAAATTGCATCCTTCATTTGATAACAAACAAACAAAAAAAAAACATGTCCTTGTCCCACACATTTTCGATTCCAAGGATGCAACAATATGAAAAAATCAATATGTATGCATAATTACAACAATAATATTCAACAGTTACCGATATAATCAGTAACAAATGTCTAAGAACGGCATATGAACGAACAATTCATGGTTATTGCCTATATATTTTATGTGTTTCGTCTATTTGAGGTGTCTAGTCTAGTTAGACACATCAATTCTTCTTTTTTTTATGGTGAAACTTCTAAAGTATAATTTTTTCACGAATTGTAGT